CCGGCTGCTGTCCCGCACCAGGGAGTGTCGTCGGTGACAGCCAAGGCTCGGAGACAGCCCCAGCTGGGCAGTGTCCCCGTGTGACCCCAGGTGTCTGATTTTCCTCCTGGGGGCTTCTGATTCGCCATCTGCCGCCCCAAAGGCGCAGCTGCCCTTCCCCGGCCCCGGGAGGGCCAACTTCTCTCCCCCCACCCCGTCCCTCTGTGCGTGTGAGCAGCCGAGGCCAGAGACGGACATAAACACAGTATCAAAGCACAGAGGTCAGCGCACACTTTTCAGCCATCACTTGGGGGATCTTTTCAAAAGCATCGTTGGCCTGGCCTATTCACCAAGGCATATGTTTGCTGTGAACCTACTGTGTGCTGGTTTCCCTGGCTCCAAGAGAAAGGCAGGAGTGGCCATTCCCATGTCCCCTGCACTGGGGACTGCTAACCAGGGGCCCTGCTGGCCTCCCCCGCGGCCGCCCTGGCCCGCCCGATGGTTTCCCTCTCAGGGATGTGCCAGGACCCGGCTCAGGTGCGCACACATGCCCAGTGACCAGCAGAAACGGGAGGCACGGTCCCCCAGACGGCTGCGGCAAGTGCTGCCTCGGCTTGCTTTCTCCTGAGCCGAGGGCAGCGAGAACCTGGACGCCCAGCGCCGTAGGGGCGGGTGTGGCGTATTTCCACGGCGGGATGTCACCCGGGAAAGAGGGAGGGGTGCCTCACGGTGTCCTGTTGAACGAGAGAAGCCCTTCATGACAACACACTCCGTGTCACAGTCCATTCGTGTGAAGTCGAGAAATAGGCAGAACCAGTGAGAGAGGTCAGCATGCGGTGTCCGGCAGGGGGTGCTGACCAAGCAGGGGGCACAGGGAGTCTCCTGGGCGGCCGAACATGGTCCCCACCGCGACCTGTGCTGGTCGCCCAGGTGCGCGCTGAGAACGGTCCCCGGCGCTGTCCGCTAAAGACGTGGGCACTCACCACGCGGTGACCAGCTGTAAGAGCGGTCTGCTGGGGCTGGGCCCTGTGCCCTTCCCCACCCTACCCCCCGGGCGAGGGACTTCGGCTACGGGGGCTGAAGCCAGGGACCCCCCCCTCTGCTCCCTCAGAGCAGCCTGGCCCAATGGGGCGCGTCGGCGGCCATGCAGGTGGTGTCCCGGCGGCGGAGCGAGGTGCGGGTGCCCTGGCTGCACAGCCTCGCCGCCGCCCAGGACGAGGACCACGAGGACCAGACGGACAGCGAGGGGGAGGACAGCAAGGAGGAGGAGGAGGAGGAAGAGGAGGAGGTCGAGGAGAAGCTCAGTGAGGTAAGAGCAGAGCCGAGGGGGCGTGGGAGCCCGCAGGCCCCATGGCCCGCAGAGGGGCGGGCAAGAGGCAGAGGCCCCGGGGCGCGGCCTGCACTGCAGCGGGCAGACCCTCCACGCCCTCCCGCCGGCCGGCCCCACGGCGGCCCCGGAGGAGACAGAGAGTCGGGGCAGAGGCTTGTGCACGCGTGCAGAGAGGGGACGCGGCCTGCCCGAGGCCACACGGCGGGTGGCAGGGCCAGGGTCCACGTTCTCCGCCCCCAGCCCTGGGGAGGGGGCGCGGGGGGGACGGGCCCGGGAGCTGCTGCGGGAGGGGCTGACCGGCTCTTCTCCCCAGGTGGCAGCCCCGCCCGGGCCGCGGGGCCTCCTGGGCAGCGTGGCGCAGGCCATGCACAAGGCCTTCCGGGGCACCGTCGCCGTCGTGACCTGGGCGCCTGCCACGGTGCTGGGCACGGCGGGGCGGGTGCTGGGCCTCTTGCCAGCCCGCGCTGCCGCCCCAACTAAGGGGCGGGCCATGTCCCTGTCGGACGCCCTGAAGGGGGTGACGGACAACGTGGTGGACACGGTGGTGCACTACGTGCCGGTGAGTTCCGCCCCCCGCCCCTGAGGGGTCGAAGTCGTCCCAAGACGTCTGCCAGGGGCTGGGCAGCCAGCTGTTCCACCTCGGGCCCAAAACAGAGCCGGGAAGGGACGCCCTGACCCGGGCGGGGGCGGTGTGTGGGCTGTGCCTAGGCTAAAACTGGATGGGCCCCAGGATGGGGCAGGGAGACTGGCCACTGAAAGACCCCTCCCCCCCCCGGGGTTCAGCCGCTTCGTCATGGAGCCTGCCTTGCTGTGGGGGTCTGGGCCGTGGGGACCCCAGAGCAGGCGGGGCACAGCTGTCTCCCCTCAGCATCCCATCCAGCTGCACCAGAAGCCCCTGTCGCACCACCCAGCCTGTGCCCCTCTGACGGCTGCTCCGGGGAGGCGGGGGACCGGAGGTGATGGGTGGGAGGTGCAAGGTGAGACCCACCCGACCCTGATGGGGCTGCCCGGTCCTCAGCTCCCCAGGTTGTCGCTGATGGAGCCTGAGAGCGAGTTCCGGGACATCGACAACCCGCCGGATGAGACCGAGCGCAGGGCGTCTGTGGCGCGATCAGCCAGCCCGGAGCCCACGGCGCGCCCGGGGCAGCCCCGAGGCAGCCTGCGCAGCGCGAGGGTGCAGAGCCTGGACGACAGAGCGGACCCACCCGCCACAACGCGCCCGGCCTTCCCGGCCGCGCCCCGGGAGAAGCCCGCGCGCAGGGTCAGCGACAGCTTCTTCCGGCCCAGCGTCATGGAGCCCATCCTGAGCCGCGCGCAGTACAACCAGCTGCGCAAGAAGAGCTAAGCGCCCCGCCGCCGCGCCCAGGGAGCCAGGGCCATGTGCGTCCACGGCAGCGTTGACGTCTTCAAAGTAGTCCCCTGGGGCCCTGCGCCGCAGCACTTTCCGTCTTGTCTTCGCGCATCTCTGGGGGCCTTAGCCTGCGGGCAATTTCAAAGAAAAATCTGAGCAGCAAAGTTCTTTGATTCTGTCTCGTTTGTTTTACTAAAAGGTTCCTTGGCTAATTTAATGTTTCTCTTCTTCCTTCAAACTGTGGCCAGACACCATGGGGCTGGGTCCCAGGTTTCGGTCCGTCCTCTGCAGACAAACAGCTGCCTCCCCTGAGCCGTTTGTCACTAACCTGAAAGTCCACCCTGTGTGAGTTCTGGACACGCTGTCAGGCTCCGAGGCTCCCGAGTGTGCAGCCGCTGGGCAGGCGACTCGGAAGGAATCTGACACGAGTGTTTCTGTGACGTGCCCGGCGGCTGCACTGGCTGGGCCCCTGTGTTCGCAGCGCCACCTGCTGGCTCAGGGCGCATCCCTTTGAACCCTTCACCCTGTCCCTCCCCTGTGGAATGCTGGTGTCCCTGGTGCGGGGGGCAGTGGGACGGGGTGGGGACCCTTCACCGGAGACAGTCTGTACTATTGCAGGGGTGTCCGACTTTGGGGCATCTCCGGGTACACTGGAAGGAGGAGAGTTGTCTTGGGCCACACATTAAATACACTGTGACACATAATCACCAAACAATCTCATCACATTTTAGGTAGATTTTCGAGTTTGTGCGGGGCCGCATTCACAGCCATCCTGGGCTGCATGCAGCCCGAGAGCTGCAGGTTGGACACCCCTGTTTTAGAGCAGCCCATGCTCTATTTCTGAAGACGTCAGTGTTCGGGAAATCCAGGACATGCATACACATAACGTAAAATTCAAACGCAGCGAGAGGGTGTGTGTGTGTCCCCCGGAGGTCTGGGTGCCCCTTTGTGGTCTGTGCACACGTGTGCAAGCTTCTGTGTGTATGTCTGTGTGTGTGTGCATGTGTGTGCGAGCTTCCCACCGGCTCCCACCACTGGGGACTGCTCTACCTGCCGCTCTGTCCCCTCACGATACTCCTTCGAGATCAGAAACCCTCCTCCTCCTTTTTACTGGCCACACAGTAGGTGCTTCATCACGTAAGTGATCTCACTAGTTCTCTGAGGAAGGGCTTTGAGGTTGTCTCCATTCCCCCCCCCCGACCCCCGCTAGCGCAAACAGTACCACAATGCACGTCCTCATACAGAACGTCTCGGGCACGTGTGTGGGCAAATATCTTTGGGAGGAACCCGTCACTTGGAACCGTGACTTGTTGGGCGAAGGGGTGTCTGCATCTTAAAATTGTCAGACAACGCCAAGGAGGCTTCCAACCCAAATTCTACTTTCGTTTTCGTCCGCAGCTGCACAGATAACCAGTGCTCGCTCTCCCCCTTCTCTGGGCGTTCCTGTCTGAAGGTGAGGGCAGAGGAGAAATGGGGAGGCCAGCTCCTTTGTCACATTGCCACTGACTCGGCCAGCCCTTCTCCCTCTGGTCCCTCCATTAGCTGAGACGACAAATGACCAGTGGACCCATGGGTCCCGTGCCCTTTGCAAGCCGGGGGCTCAGAGCTGTGGGCCAGAACTTGACGCCTTGGGTCTGGGGCGCAGAAGGGGCAGGGCAATGACTTCGGGGTGCAGCCAGGGGTCCCCCCCCTCCCCGGGCGGAGAAGTGGACAGCTGTCGCCACCCTGAAAACCATCGAGGTTGGATCCCTCTCGGACTCAAAAGGGATTGTGAAATCAGCGGAGGAGGTGGGGGCTTCCTGGGACCTGGGGAGGGAGAGCTTTGCTGAGCGTGGAGGGGCGCGGGCGGGCCGGGACCGGGAGCGATGCGGCGGCGAGAGTAGCGAAGGCCTGAATACAAGGAGGTGTGAGCGCCCTTTTCCAGAGTCTGGGGGCTGGGAAATCCGCCTTCCCCTCGCGGAGCGAAAACATCCCTGGTGAATCTCCGACTTCTCACGAGTTACAACTTGCCCTTATGCGACGTGGGCATCCCGCCCGCGGGCAGGGGGCTGCTCCGGCGCGGAGAGTCAGGCCGGCAGGGGCGTCGCCGTGTCCCCAGAATTCCGTGAGCCTGTGCCAGGATCAGCGCCCAGCGCGAGGGACGCGAGCGGCGCTGAGTGGACCCGAGACCCGTGGCCACGCCCCCGGGGCGGCCCGGCCCACGACCCGCCACGCCCGGTCCCGCCTGCGGACAGACTCTGCGGCGCCGCCCGGCTCCGTCTCAGCCCCCGGGAGCCTGAGCAGAGGCGGGGTTGCGGGGGGGAAGGCGGGATCATTTGGGGGGCGGGGGTCCTGGTGACGGCATCAGAGCGCGCGGCGCTGGGGCTGGGAGGCTGGCCAGGGGCTGCGCTGACACCCCGGCAAGTAAGTGGGGGCCCCCGGAGACATGGGGGGCGCGCTGTCCCCCTGCGCAGGCCGGCCCCGCGGCTCTGGGAGCCGGCACCCTGGTGGAGCCCATCCTGGCTTACCAGCCTCCTGGGGCCCTTCCCGGGGGTGGGAGGCGGGAGCCCCCTCCCCTAAGTCGGGGGCCCGAGGCCGGCCTGCTGGTCCTGGCCGGGAGGAGAGAGTGCGGGGCTGCCTGCGCTGGTGAGCACTTTTCCGAACTTTCCTTGATCCTCCGACTCGGTGCCCGCACCCCACCGCACCGGCAGACGCCTCCGGGTGCTTTCGGGGCGCAGAGAAGCGGGCCCGCAAGGAGCTAAAAAGTTCAGGGTGACCGGGACAGGCACCCGCGGTGCCCCCAGCGCCGGCCACCCGGCAGGGACGGGATGATTTCGTGAACAAAAAGCCGTTACAGGCGCTGAGAGAAGGCAAATACAGTGCGGACCCAGAGTGTGCGCCTGCACACCTGGGCGGTGCAGCGTGTCCCTGGACCCGGCACGAGCGACTCAAGCAGCGCACAGAACGGTCACACCCAGAGACACGGCGCTGTTTCACAGCGAACTTTGTTTCAGACCTAGGAGCAGTACCCTCTCCACGAAGAAAAGTGTAGCTAGCGAACACACAGACCGTTACGTACAGGCTCGTGTGCTGCGCCTACTCGTTCGGGCCGTGCTTCCGGTGCCCGGCGGCGCGGGAGGCTCGCCGCCAGCGTCGCCATAGACACCCGAGCAGGGCGGGCAAGTAAGCCAGTTGCCATCGTTCTGCTGGTGGAAGGTCTTGCCTTCAGTTTGTTAAAAAGAAAAAGAAAGAAAGAGTGGCAAAGCCTGTGAAGCGCAATAAAGCAAAGCGCAATAACGGAGGTGAACGGGAGGCGATCAAGCGGGGCGGGCGCGCAGTGAGGACTGGCCAGGGAGGATGCAGACGGGCAGGTTCCTTGGATAAGTAATCACTCATCGCTACCCCGCAGCGAGGAAGGGTGGGGTTTGTGCTGGGCAGTGGAGACGCTGCAGGAGGGGGACAGGGCGGTCCCTGCCTCCCAGCTCCCAGCCTGGGGGGGGAGGCCCTCAGGGTGTCTGCTTGGCTCCCTGCAGAAGGTGGGGCCGGCTCAGCTCCCAGGCGCCACCGAGGAGTCTGGTGGGCAGCACTGATCAGGTCCATGTGTGTAGTCCAGGTACGAAGGGCCTGTTCCAGTTTAGCCCCTTTGGAGGAGGGTAAGATGGCGTTGGCGTATTTGCAAGATGCCCGTGGTTGCGCTGGAGAAGCGGCTGGTAAAGGTCACCCCTTTACCAGGACGTCAGTGGCCAGGGCTAGCTGCGGTTTCACTTTCCGCGGTTTCACTTACCACGGCTAACTGGTCTGAAAATATTAAAGGGGGAATTCCAGAAGTCTTGAGTTTTAACTTGCGCGCCATTCCGAGCAGTGTGAGGTGATCTCGCGATATCCCGCTCGCTCCCGCGCTGCCTGGGAATGAGCTTGTGAAAAACGCGGCACCCGCGCAGCTCCAGCGAGCAAACAGCGCCCGCAGGCGGCTGGCGCTGCCGGCCGGCGTCGGCAGCATCTCGGTGCGTGTGTTCCAGCGGCCCGCCCTTGGCTTCCTAGCGGCGATGCTGGAAGTTCAGATGCGCCAGCGAGAAGCAGGAAAGGGGTTCTTTTAAGTGAAAGAGCAAAAAAAAAAGTTGAATGCTTAGATGGGAAGATCTGCCGTAAGAATGAATCTTCTGTGAAATTGTGAAGGAATTTGCTAGTTTTGCTGTTCCGACTTAGCCTGCAGAAGTTACGCCTGCAGCGTGGGAAAGAGCGCTGCTGACGGTGAGAACAGCGGAAAGCGTGCCGGTGGGAGGCGGGAGCGCCCCGCGCCATGGGCGGTGCTGCCTGCTGGCCGGAAAACCGGGAACTTACACAGGGACTTCAGCCGGGGGCCCCCCTGAGACAAGGGGCCGCGTTCACACGCTGTTTATTGCCGTGCATTGTTGTAATTGTTTATTCCCTCGTTAGGTACCCTTGCTAATTTCTTGCTGTGCCTGGTTTATAAGTTAAACTTCGGCACAGGTGCGTGTGTACGTACAGGGGAAACAGCGCGTGGACCGGGTTCGGTACTAGCCGTGGTTTCAGGCGTCCACTGGGGGGCTTGGGATCTGTTGACTTGTTTTGGAGAAGGTGGGGCAGGGGGCTCCAGGCAACAAATGTGGAGGTAAGAAAACTCAGCGGGTGGGGGGGAGGGTGTCTTCTAGGGGTCACAGGGACCCGGTGCATCTGGAACGCAAGCCCTTGGGTGGCGAGAGGAGACATCAGGGCCTTAGTTTGTGACGTGTCACTGATGGGGCTGCACTGTGGCCCCTGCGGCATTCAGGCACCAGGTGGGGGCACGCAGGATGCTCTGGACGTCGGCCGCCCTCCACTGGGCCCCTCCCAGGCCCCCTGCAGGGCGAGCCAGGGCCCTGGCGCACAGGTGCCGATGGTGCGGGCCTCTTCCTCTCCGCAGGGCCTGCAGCAGCGCCCCCCCCTCCTCGCCAACATGGGGCTGGAGGCCCAGAGGCTGCCAGGGGCCGAGGAGGCCCCAGTGAGGGTGGCCCTGCGAGTCCGCCCGCTGCTGCCCAAGGAGCTGCTGCACGGGCACCAGAGCTGCCTGCGGGTGGAGCCGGGGCGCGGCCGGGTCACCCTGGGCCGGGACCGCCACTTCGGCTTCCACGTGGTGCTGGACGAGGACGCCGGGCAGGAGGCTGTGTACCAGGCCTGCGTGCAGCCCCTGCTGGAGGCCTTCTTCGAGGGCTTCAACGCCACGGTCTTCGCCTACGGCCAGACGGGCTCCGGGAAGACGTACACCATGGGGGAGGCCAGTGTGGGTGAGTGGCCCCCCCGAGCCCACACTGAGGGGCTTCGATGGCACCTGCCCTCTTGCTGCTGTTCCCTGGCGAAGGTGGGGTTGCTGGTGGTGTGGGAGGGAGCTGTTTTCCGAACAGACCTGCAGCCCAGGGTGGGACGAGCCACGCCCATGGGCTGCGGGGGGCAAGTGGCCTCCTCAGCCGGCCCCACGGCGTCTCCCCAGCCTCCCTCCACGAGGATGATCAGGGCATCATCCCCCGGGTCATGGCCGAGGCCTTCAAGCTCATCGATGAGAACGACCTGCTGGACTGCCTCGTGCACGTGTCCTACCTGGAGGTGTACAGGGAGGAGTTCCGGGACCTGCTCGAGGTGGGCACGGCCAGCCGCGACATCCAGCTCCGGGAGGACGATCGGGGGAACGTCGGTGAGGAGACCCTGAGGGCCCCCCTGGCTGGGGGAGGGGCGCCTGGCTTGAGGAGGCTTCCCCCGCTGGAGGCTGGCTCACCTGTCCGGGAGGGACACCTGACTGGGAAGTTAGTCTGGAAAGTTTCGCTTTGGTTTCCCGTCTCCACGGACTCTGGTGTATGTGCTCCCGCACCCAGAGGGAGAGGCTTCCCAGTGGGCGGGGGGAACTGGAGCCCCTTCAGTCCCAGCCAGGACGGCCAGGGGACAGGGGCCCCTGAGGCAGGGAGAACTGCAGGCGGCTGGCTCTGCGGGCCCCTACCCAGCCCCGGGCTCACTGCCTCTCGCGCCCGCAGTGCTGTGTGGGGTGAAGGAGGTGGACGTGGAGGGCCTGGACGAGGTGCTGAGCCTCCTGGAGATGGGCAATGCGGCGCGGCACACGGGGGCCACGCACCTCAACCGCCTGTCCAGCCGCTCGCACACGGTCTTCACCGTGACCCTGGAGCAGCGGGGCCGCGCCCCCAGCCGCCTGCCGCGCCCCGCCACGGGCCAGCTGCTGGTCTCCAAGTTCCACTTCGTGGACCTGGCCGGCTCCGAGCGGGTGCTCAAGACGGGGAGCACAGGCGAGCGCCTCAAAGAGAGCATCCAGATCAACAGCAGCCTGCTGGCCCTGGGCAACGTCATCAGTGCCCTGGGCGACCCCCAGCGCCGCGGCAGCCACATCCCCTACCGGGACTCCAAGATCACGCGGTGAGCCCGCAAGAGAAGGGGCCATGAGAGCTCCCAGGTGGCCGCTGGGGGTGGAGCTTGGCAAGGCGGAGGGCATCCGGCTTCTGGGGCACGCAGCCGGGCAGTCAGCCTCAGGCGCGACTGTGGAGTTGTCGGTCCGCGGGCCCTGGCGCACTGGGGCCCCTGACACGCATCCCTGGCGTCCTCAGGATCCTCAAAGACTCGCTGGGCGGAAACGCCAAGACGGTGATGATCGCCTGTGTCAGCCCCTCCTCCTCCGACTTCGATGAGACCCTCAACACCCTCAACTACGCCAGCCGCGCTCAGAACATCTGCAACCGCCCCACGGTCAACTGGCGGCCCGAGGCCGAGCGGGCGCCCGAAGAGGCGGCCGGGGCGCGGGGTCCTCCGCGGCACCGCTCAGAGACGCGCATCATCCACCGCGGCCGGCGCGGCTTGGGCCCCGCCGCCGCCCCCACCGTGGCCGCCGCCCGCCTGGGCGCCGAGTGCGCGCGCTACCGGGCCCGCACTGACGCCGCCTACAGCCTCCTGCGTGAGCTGCAGGCCGAGCCCGGGCTACCCGGCGCCACCGCGCGGAAGGTGCGCGACTGGCTGTGCGAGGTCGAGGGCGAGCGCAGCGCCCTGAGCTCCGCCTCGGGGCCGGACAGCGGCATCGAGAGCGCCTCCGCCGCGGACGAGCAGGCCACGCAGGCGCCCGGCGGCAGAAAGGTGGCCAAGGACCAGGTGTGGTTCTGGGCAGGGGAAGGAGAGGGTTTCAGACATCCAGCCATTAGCGCAGACTCTTGGGGATTCAAAGCTGGTGACTGTGGTCACTCTCCATAACGTCCTCCCGCCTCAGGCTCGCTCTGTACAGCAGGGCTGACCTTGACCTTTACCTCCTGGGGGCAATGCAAAGGCTGATGCTATAACACCGGCTCAGCATCCGGTGAGGGCTCAGTACCTTGTTCACAGAGGTGGCCCATGTGGCTTGCGGAGGGGACCGCAGGCAGGGCAGAGGGAGGGCTGGGGCGCCCCAGGGACTTGTCCTGCTCGCTCCTGCCCTGACGCCTGTCTCCCTGCCCCCTAGGGAGGCGAGGGGGCGCTGCTGGCCCTGCAGAGCCAGGTGGCCCGGCTGGAGGAGGAGAACCGAGACTTCCTGGCCGCCCTGGAGGACGCCATGGAGCAGTACAAGCTGCAGGTGGGGGCGCCACTTCCACGGAGGCGAGGGCCGGGGAGCGAGTTTGCCAGACGGAAGGAAAGCAGCTGGAGAAGGTTCCAGCAGGGCAGGAGACATGGGGGTGTGCACACACGAGCAGAAGCGTGGAGGTCGGAACAGAACGGTGTGGGTGGGTGTGCAGGACGGTCCTGAGTGTGGGTGGCAGGTGGGCCTGGAGGGCGGCAGGGTGGGGCACTGCAGGTGGACCCTTCCTTCGTCAGTCCCAAGGTAATGGGGTCAGCGTTGCTCCTGGCGCCCTCTGGTGGCAGTGATTGGCAGGGGCGTGGAGGACTGGCAGGGTGGGATGAGAGCTGGAACCTGAGCCAAAGTGCTGTGTGTGTGTGTGTGTGTGTGAGTGAGAGAGAGAACAAGAGGTGGCCAGAGTGTGTGGCCCTCCTCAGGGAGCGGGGGGCCTCACACCTGTCCCCCAGTCTCCTGCACTTCGTCCCGGTTGCCCCCCCTCCGCAGTCCGTGTCTCCCCCCTCAGAGCCTGGACCATGCCTTGCAGAGCGACCGTCTGCGTGAGCAGCAGGAGGAGATGGCGGAGCTGCGGCTGCGGCTGGAGCTGGTGCGGCCAGGCTGGGGTGCCCCGGGGCTCCTGCGGGGCCTGCCTCCTGGGGCCTTTGGGCCCCGGCCTCACACGGCACCCCTGGCGGGTGCCCACAGCCACGTGCTGGGCATGGTGCCCCCTGCGTGCCTTCCTGGAGACGAAGTCGGCCCTGAGACCTGGGGAGAGGTGAGGAGGTGGCCAGGCTGGGCACTGCTGGGCTTGTGGGACTGGGCAGGGGAAGGGCGAGGCCGGGGAATGTCCCCCACCCCAGGCTTTCGTGGGACCAGCTGTGAGATGCCTCTTCCTGTGCCCCTAGAGGAAGGGCCAGGATTTGGGTGACTGAGGGGCCTCTCAGAAGGACGGTGCTATTGGGGATCTCTGCAACTGGAGATTGCTTGGGTGTTAGAGAGAGGCTTCCAGCACTGGACGGGAAGCTTGCATGCCTCCAGAGACGGGGAGCTCATCACTCTGAGGCCACGCGCTCTGTCTTTGGATGCCTCTCTTTGCCAGTTTACTTTTCCACGAGCCCTGCTCTCCCAGAGCCCAGTGTCCTGCTTCTAGTCTGTCACGTGGGGCCTTGGGGACAAAGGCTGTGCCCGCACCTGCCTGAACACTCTGGGCCGCCCCAGCTCTCAATCCTGAGGGATAAGCCGGGGGAGGCCGTGGGTTTGGCAGAAGTCCGCTGCAGCTGCCAGTCTGGCCGGGCACTGTTAGCAGGATAAGACTCGGGTGCAGGTGACCTGTGTACAAGGTGGAAGTGGCGGGTGGTCACCTGAGAGAGAGTATCGGGTGCTACGGGAGCCGGGGCGGGGGAGCGTGGGGGAGGCAGCTCCTGCTTTGACTTGGCGTCATCGGGCCAGACCGTGCAGGTGGGGCAGGGCGTGGGGTAGAGGTGCAGGTGGCAGCATGGCCCTGGCGCCGGGACGGCCCGCAGAGGATGCCCTGCAGGCCTCCTGTCCTGAAACCCTGGCTCTCCCCTCACAGGAGACAAATGGCACAGAGATGGGAGCCCAGCTGCTGGCGGAGGTCGACAGGCTGGGAGGTGGCTCCTCGGCTTCATCGGAGGAGGGGGAGGGGGAGGGGGCTGAGCAGCCGCCGCCCCGGCAGACCCTGCACCTGCGCAGGTGTGTGGGGACCACGGGGGACCTGGCAGGGACCCACCTGGCGGGACCCTGTGATCTCACCCCCACCGCCCCTGTGTGCCCTCACCCCCATCGCCCCTGCCGGCCCTGGGGAGAACAGACAGGGGTGGGCCCGCCTCCCAGGTGGTCCTTGGTGCCCCCAGCTCCCCCGCCCCCCCTCTGCTTGGCTCCTGGCCCCGGGGTTCTGCTGGGCTGACCGGTTCTGTCGATGGTGGGACGGAAGGCCAGGGACCCACCTTCTTCCCCCTGGCCTGGGGGGTGGCTGTGCTGGGGCGGGGGCTGGGGAGGGGTGCAGACGCCTGCCTCTGCCCCCCAGAAATGGGATCGGCAAGTGGAACCAGAGGGCGGACGCAGGCCCTGGGAGTCCGCCGAGCAGGAAGGGCCCGGAGCTGCGCCTTGAGGAGCCGGGTGCAGCCACCCTGGAGCCCAGAGGTGGGGCTACTGGGGCGCAGAGAGGGCATGACGCCTTCTCCCTCCGTGGTCCCGACGGGCCCCTCTGGGCAGTCCACCCGTCCCCCCTGGCCGCCCTGACCACCCTGCCCGGCCTCTGCCATGCACTCGCCGCCTCCCTGCTGTCAGGCAGCACGGCAGCCTTGACCGCTGGCCTCTTACAGTGGCTCCTGGGAGCAAGGCCCGGGCCCGGCCCCGCCAGGATCCCGCAGCCACGGCCTCCGAGTGGCGGCTCGCCCAAGCCCAGCAGAAGATCCGGGAACTGGCCATCAACATCCGCATGAAGGAGGAGCTCATCGGCGAGCTGGTGCGCACAGGTGAGCCGGGGTTCCGGCCATCCCCACCCAAGGGTGCCCCAGGCAGGGGCCAGACGGCCGGGTCTGAGGCCCAGCTCAGCCTCTTGCCGCTGTGTGACCTGGGGCAGGTCGGATAACCCCTCTGTGCCTCAGTGTTCTCGCTCCTGAGGCGGGGACAGCAATCGTACCCGCCCACAGGGTGGCTCAGAGGACACATTGCGTGAGGTCAGGGGCGGCATCCAGACTGGCTCGTGGGAGGCACTGCCGGTCATCGCTGTCCGTCGGGTGGCTGCTGGGTGGGTCCCCAAATGGTGCCCCGCCTACTGGTGATCCGTGGGACGGGGGAGGGGACGATTTCAGCTGGTGACCGGCCGACCTTTCTAATAGCGATGAGCTCACTGTAAAATGCATCCTGAAATATTTCACGTACAGGAGAAGAGAGACCAGGACTGGGGGTCCCCGTGTACCCACCACTGAGGCTCAGTTGTCGAATTTTTCCCGCCCTTGTTTATTGCTAGAACACATGTTCCGTGAAACTTACGGAGTGACGTTGGGTAACAACTTGTATAAGTTTCCGGTGCCTTTCTCGTCTCATGGCGCACAGCTAACCCCTAAAATTCTGCGGCCCACCAGAAAGTTCTCTTTTGCCAGTCTGACAAAAAAAAAGGGGTCTAATTTGGATTTGTTCACATGGGAGGGATACTGTCATGGGAGGTGCTGTCATTTTTCTCCCTGACAGTCCCAGGGAAAGGAGGTCAGGGCCCCCGACGAGACGAGACAGTCAGGTTTGGCGTAAATCCCCGCGGCGTGCCCGGTGAAAATCACTCTGTGACGCGTCCCTGAACGTCGCACCGTGTGCTCGGCACCCGGCGTCGAGTTTCCCTCCGTCACCGCCGTGTGTTGTCCGCCCCGCCCCCGCCCCCGCCCCGCCGGGGGCTCCCCGCGGTCTCACTCGCCACGTGGGAGCCAGAGCCTGCGGTGCCTGTCCTTTTCTGCTGTGACAGACGGCGGTGTGTGTGCTCTCCTGTCACGGCGGGGAGGCGTCGTGCTGCACGTACGTCCTGTCATTCCGTCATATGTGTGTGTGTGCGTGTGTGTGTGCGTGTGCTCTTCCTCTACTAACTGTCCACGGGAGGGCACGGCGGTTGTCTCCACGTCTGGGCCGCCGTGGGTGACGCCGCGGTGAGCCGAGCGCTGCGCTGCGTGCGTCTGTCTGAAGAAATGTCGTCGCGTTTTGCAAGTAGACACCCAGAGGAGGGGTTGCCGGGCCACGCGGTAGCTCTGTTCTTTTGGTTGTAATTGCAAAACTGTTGTTTTGTTTTGTTTTGTTTTGTTCCACATTTTCCCCCGCAGTCTCCTTGTGAGCGCACCGGAAAGCGGTGGGTCTCCGTGCGTCGACTTCTGCGTCCTGCAGCTTCGCCGTGATTGCGTTTGTGTTTGTGTGTGCGGGGTTGTCGGTGGCGTCTCCAGGGTTTCCTCTGAGCAGAATCATGTCGTCTGCTGAAAGCGACCCCTTCATTTCCCCCCTCCCAGTTTGGGTGCCTTTCATTTCTTTCTCTTGCCCCAGTGCTCTGGCCGGGACTCCCAGCACCGGGTTGCATAAGGTGGCCAGAGTGGGCGTCCCTGACTCATGACCTGTGCTCTGTCCTCCACTCTCCCAAGCGGGAGTTGGTTCTGGAAGCTTCCTTGCGTGCAGGCTTCAGCTCTGTACGTACTTTAGCTCGTGTTTGTGTTCGGTGGGACTGCTGGTCCACCCACTGCGTCCCCTGGCCACTGCTGCGGACGAGGCTGGTCGACGAAGTAGCCGGCGTCCAGGGAAACCCTGGGGGAGCCGAGGCGCTGGTGGAACAGGGGCTGGGAGGCCCCGTGCTGACGCGGCCCCCTCCCCCAGGGAAGGCGGCCCAGGCCCTGAACCGCCAGCACAGCCAGCGCATCCGGGAGCTGGAACAGGAGGCGGAGCGCGTGCGGGCGGAGCTGAGCGAAGGCCAGCGGCAGCTGCGGGAGCTGGAGGGCAGGGAGCCGCAGGACCCAGGCGAGCGGTCCCGGCTCCAGGAGTTCCGCAGGAGGGTCGCTGCCGCCCAGAGCCAGGTGCAGGTCAGCGTGGGCCCCCCCCCGGGTGGGGGGGTGGCAGGTGTGGCCGCCCAGGCTGGGGCGCCGGGGCCCACGCTCACTGTGGAACCTGTGAGGTTCCTCAGCCCCGAGGGTGCTCAGGCCCTCGTGCTGGCCCCCCGGTGGCTGGCCCTGCCGGCCTCCCAGGCCGAGGCCGGTGCTGTAGCAGCCCCGCCAGGGGTCAGCTCACTGAAGGCAGCTGAGGCAGGGAGGCCACGGAGGGGGCAAGCAGGGGGCCTTATTGAAAGGCAGTCCCCCTTCCTCAGGCAGCCTCCCCGCCCCCGTCCACCCATCTGTTCTTCCAGCTCCCCGTGCACACACACGGCTGCACCCCGCCTTCCTGTCTCCCCATCAGCCTGTGCCCCTCTAGTCCACCTGTCTGTCCGTCAGTCCGACCAACTGTCCGTGTATCCCTCCATCCTTCCGTCCTTCTGTTCCCTGTCATCGATCGTGCGCTGTCTGTGCATCTTTAACGACCCACCTTCCTGTCCATCTTCCTGTCCACCCTCCCTCCTGTCCGTCCATCCATCTTTGCAGCTGCCACCCACCATTTTCCTCCTCCTTTGCTCGGGCCAGGCGACCAGGACACAGCACAGCAGGGTGGTCGAGGGCACGGGCCCCGGGACCAGGCGGTCAGGGTTTGAATCCCAGCTCTGCCGTTTCCCAGCTGTGTGTCCTCGGTTGAGTTTCCTAGCCTCTCTGTGCCTCAGTTCCCTACTCTGTTAACTGGGGCCGATCATCATCATACTCGTCGGCAGGATCGTTCAGGGTCGGTTAACAGACACAGAGTGCTCAGTGCGGTGCCTGGTACATGGTGACCGTCTGTGTACCTCCCTCTAGCCGTGTGCTGGAGTTTTTATTGTCCGTTGTCCGTCCGCCTGCTTTCCCTTCTGTCTGCCGCTCCATCCAGCCGTCGGCCTTCGGGCCAGCGCGCCCTTGTTGAGAGCCGGGCTCACGGTGTCCCCTGCCCGTGGCCCAGCGGGGGTTGTGCCGGTCGCAGGTGCTGAAGGAGAAGAAGCAGGTGACGGAGCGGCTGGCGTCGCTGTCGGCCCAGAGCGAGAAGCGGCTGCAGGAGCTGGAGAGGCACGTGCGGCTCATGCGGCAGCAGCAGGCGCAGCTGCAGAGGCGGCTTCGCGAGGAGACGGAGCAGAAGCGGCGCCTGGAGACCGAGATGAGCAAGCGGCAGCACCGGGTCAAGGTCGGGCTCTCGGCTGGGTGCACGCCCCGGGTCCCGGCCGCCCACAGCCACGAGCCCCCCCCCGGCCGGTCACTCAGCCTCCCTGAGTCTGTCTCTCCTGCACGTGTGTGGAGGGGCATTCCAGGAAAGTCAAGGCCAGGGTGAGGAGCCAGGGAATTCAGCGTGACGAGCCCTCTAAGGCCGTCGGCACCTGCTGTCGTAGGAGCAGATCTGTGTTAGCTGCTCCCCGGCCAGACACCGTGCAGGGCCACGTCGGGAGAGGCCGGCGAGAGGCTGGCACGCAGGGTCCCGCCCCTGAGCCTCTCTCTCCCCTGCGCCCCCAGGAGCTGGAGCTGAAGCACGAGCAGCAGCAGAAGATCCTGCGGATCAAGACGGAGGAGATCGCGGCGTTCCAGAGGAAGCGGCGCAGCGGCAGCAGCGGCTCCGTGGTCAGCCTGGAGCAGCAGCAGGTGGGCACGCCGGCGGCTCCCAGAACCTGACGGGGGGAGGGGGGCTGCCCTGCCCGCAGCGGGCATGAGCGCTGAGCGCCCGCCCTTGCCTCCCCCACGTCCCCTCAGAAGATCGAGGAGCAGAAGAAGTGGCTGGACCAGGAGATGGAGAAGGTCCTGCAGCAGCGGCGGGCGCTGGAGGAGCTGGGCGAGGAGCTCCGCAAGCGGGAGGCCATCCTGGCCAAGAAGGAGGCGCTGGTGCAGGAGAAGACGGGGCTGGAGAGCAAGCGCCTGCGCTCCAGCCAGGTGAGCGCCCCCCCCCGCGAGGCCCCGGGCGGGGGGTGGGGGGCTCTGCCCTGCAGGGTCAGGCGAGTGGTGGACCCTCTCCAGGTGCCTTTGCACAGTCTGCTTCCCCTCATCCACCCCGGCTCTGGGGCGGCGCGGGCAGCGAGAGGAGGGTGGTGGGTGACCCGGGGACAGAGCCTTCAGTGGCGCTGAGGCAGAAGGAGCCCCACCTGGCCCCCCAGGGCTGCGTCGCTCCCTCGTGAGTAGGACGCTCTGAGCCATCGTCGTGTGGCTGAGGATTTGAGGGGGCACGTCAGACACATGGCCCAGGGCTGACCCAGCGGTGGGTGCTCGGGCGGCACTCGGAAGCGCAGGAGGGTCTGGGTGCTGCCGGATGCTCCGAAAGTCCCTTGGCCGTGAGAGCCTTGACCTCCTCCACCTTCAGGCTCCCGGAAAGGTCTCCAGGGCTTGGCCACTAACTTCCCATAATTCCCATCACAAACTCAAGTCACCTCGGTGACAGGCTGCCACCACACACTGCCCAGCCTTGGCCCACGTTGCCCGCTTCTCGTCAGGGGTACCTTGTCCTCTGCGTGTCTGCACCCTCCTCCTGGATGGTCTCTGCGGCCCCCGGGGCCAGGTGTCTGAGGGGCTGAGTGGCCTCCGTCGCATCCTACGGGTGGTCTGTCACGGAGGGGGCGGGCCTGCTCCCCACCCCACTCATGCCCGGCGCCGCCCCAGGCCCTGACCGAGGACATCGTGCGCGTGTCCAGCCGGCTGGAGCACCTGGAGAGGGAGCTGTCCGAGAAGAGCGGGCAGCTGCGGCAGGGCAGCGCCCAGAGCCAGCAGCAGATCCGCGGGGAGATCGACGCCCTGCGCCAGGAGAAGGACTCGCTGCTGAAGCAGCGCCTGGAGATCGACGGCAAGCTGAGGCAGGGCAGCCTGCTGTCGCCCGAGGTACGCCGCGCCGGGCAGCCCCCAGAGGTGGGAGCGTGTGCGGACCGGCGCCTGCTCGTCTGGGGCACAAGGGCCGGCAGCTGCCCTGCCTGTTCCCCTCCTGGAGTCCAGACCCCGAGTCCTGCACTGCAGTGACGGCCGACCCAACATCTCAGCCTCCCTGTGGGAGAGAGTGTCACAGCCACGTCCAAGTGCCCTCCCCAGCAGTCCTGCCAGGCCTCCCCTCCCCTTCCATGGCGGGGGGTGGGGGGTGGGGGGGTGTCTGAGCTCCCCGGGTGCAGATCCCTCCCTGCACCACCCTGGGGTCAGGCTCTGACAGCTCCGGGCAAGGGGGCACTTTGAGGGTCCAATGTGGCTGCATACCCACACCCCGCCCCCGCAGGAGGAGCGGACGCTGTTCCAGCTGGACGAGGCCATCGAGGCCTTGGACGCCGCCATCGAGTACAAGAACGAGGCCATCACGTGCCGCCAGCGGGTGCTGCGGGCCTCAGCCTCCCTGCTGTCCCAGTGCGAGATGGACCTCATGGCCAAGCTCAGCTACCTCTCGTCCTCCGAGACCAGGGCCCTCCTCTGCAAGTACTTTGACAAGGTGGGTCGCCCCCGCCAGCCCTGCCCCCTCCTCCCGGGAATGCCGATCAGAGTGTAGCTCCTTCAGGGCGGCCTTTGTCCCCATCATGGGCTCTCAAGAGGGATGCGTTTGCTGGCCCAGGGGACATGTCACCCTGTCTGGAGCTGCTTCTGGTCGTCACGACAGTAGGGGTGGAGGCCGGGGGATGCGACTCAACCCCCTACAACACACAGGATGGGCGGGTCCCCGGCCATCCAGCCTGAGCTGCCAGCAGTGCAGAGGCTGAGAAACCCTGGCCTCCGTGAAACACACAGCTTGAGGCTCTGCCTGGAAGCATCTTCCTGTGCGACTGGGAAGGAGTCTGAGGCAGGGATGGCAGAGAACACCCATCTTGAGAGCTAACTCTTGTCACTTGTAATGTGCTGCCTGGGACACTGTTGAGAGGCGTCTGGGGGCCAGATCTGGGCTCAGAGGAGACCCCGTGACTCCTCAGTGACGCCTAGCATGGGGCGGTGCTGGCCGGGCTGTCCTGGGGCGAGGGCTCCCGGACGGAGGGCATGGGCGCTGCGTCTGAGCCGGCCGGCCTCGGCGCAGGTGGTGACGCTGCGGGAGGAGCAGCACCAGCAGCAGGTGGCCTTCTCGGAGCTGGAGATGCAGCTGGAGGAGCAGCAGAGGCTGGTGTACTGGCTGGAGGCAGCCCTGGAGCGGCAGCGCCTGGAGATGGACCGCCAGCTGACCCAGCAGCAGAAGGAACACGAGCGGAGCCTGCAGCTGCTCCTGCAGCAGAGCCGAGGTGAGGCCCGCTCGCGGCAGCTCACGCACAGCCCCGCCTCCGCTGCGCCCTGGCCACACCCCCGCCACCCCTCCCCTTGCCTGTCCCCATAGACCACCTTGGCGAAGGGCTAGCAGACAGCAGGAGGCAGTATGAGGCCAGGATCCAGGCTCTGGAGAGGGAGCTGGGCCGCCACATGTGGATGAACCAGGAACTGAAGCAGAAGCTGAGCGGCGCGGGCGCGGCGGGACCGAGCAGGGGTGAGCCTCACTGCCCGCGGCCGGACGCGCTGCCCTCCCTCGCAGAGGTCAGCTGTCACACCTTGGTTTGGGGAGGTCAGAAACCCCTCCGTCCGCAGCTCTTCCGGGGTCCTTTCCCACGTTGCTTGTTGTGCTGGGCGCGGGACGCCAGCACTGAGGCCGTGCGCTGCCGCCTCCCCTCCTGAGCAGGGTGTTGCTGTCCTCCGTGACAGGTGGGGAGAAGAGGCCCCCGTGCCCTGGACAGGAGGATGACCTGCGCGCAGCACCAGAGCCGCTTGGGCAGCCGCCCTCTGCGGAGGGCGCCCCCCGTGCCCGGGAGGAGGCGCGGGACCTGGTCCACGCCCCGCTCCCACTGACGTGGAAGCGCTCCAGCCTGGGTGGCGAGGAGCAGGGCTCCCCGGAGGAGCCGCGGCAGCGGGAGGCCGCGGAGCCCCTTGTCGGGCAGGCGCTGCCTGTGGGGGTGGGGGGCCTGCCCTGGCAGGCGGGGCCCTTGGCCAGACCCCGGCGGGAGCTGCGCAGGGCCAGCCCGGGGATGATCGACGTCAGGAGGAGCCCCCTGTAGGTCTGGGGCAGAGCCGGCCTCGGACAGGGGTCCGAGCCCGCCGAAAGGTACGGTGCTGCCTGCGTCTGCCAAGGAGTCCTCGCCTCGCTCTAGATCAGAGTCAGCCCAGACGAACTGGGCTCAGTTACTGTGACTCTTTGTAAAAGCGGCTCCCTACCGCCCCCTTCCGGCGAGCTGCGGCACGACGGCCGGGCGGCCGCCTTCGGCTCGGACCGGTTCGAGCAGGACACGTGCGGTCTGCGGGCCGTGCCGCTGGCTCTGCGGTGCAGCGGGGCGGTCCCGGAGCGGCCTGGGGTGTAAGCGGGCGCAGTGTGCGGGGTTGGGAAGCAGCAGGCGTTTGGAGTTGTGCGCAGCCGTTTTGTAATAAATGAGAACAGCCTCTGGAGACACCGGTGTTCACTGAGTCTGACCGACAGCAGCAAGAAGCGGCTGGGGAGCACGGCCGGCCTGGAAGTCACTCCGAGACCGGGGTGGGGGGGGGGGAGGCAGCTGCCGGCCGGGCCTGCACCGGGACTCCACGGCGGGCCGGCCCACCCCCACTCGGCGAGTCCCCCGCAGACGGCGGGGACTGGCTCTCGGGGCACCGAGCTGGGCCACGGCCACAGCGAACCTCGGGCGGGGCGGTGTACGGCGACGCGCCGGGAGCTGAGTAGCCAGAGGTGCCTTTATTGTTCCGGGGAGTGCGAGCCATTTACCCTGCCGCCCGCCTCTGTCCCAGGGTCCCAGCCTCGCGGCGGCTTCACAAGGGGCCCGGTTCACCAAAGAGGAAGCGTTGTCCTGACCTGCCACGGTCACGGTCGGCGGGGGCGGGGGTGGGGGCTGGAATGGGACCCTGGTCTTGCAGGGCCGCGCCTGGCTCCAGGCTGCCCCTGAGGTGCAGCACCCGCCAGCCGCGGCAGGGGGAGCAGGAGTGCCTGTGGCTGTCGGTCCCCGTCCCGTCCCTCCTCACTAGCTGATCAGCTTCCTCCGCGAGCAGGTTCTGCTCATGGGGCGTCGCCTGGCGGCAGCGCTGAAATGACAGTCCTCGTCGGTTGGGGAAACACGTCTGTGTCCTCATCTAGAAAAAGGCGGACGCACAGGCGGGGACTGAGGACGCAGCCAAGGACAACGGGGCTGGGGCTGCAGGCGGTCCACGCGAAGGCCACGCTCTCCCCCGCAAGGCCGCTTTCCGCGCTGGAAGCAACAACACCCACTGAACAACACTCTGCTTTTGTAGTGTGTGTGTGTTTTTTAAATTTACTTATTTAACTTTGAAAATCATTTAATTTCAGTAGAAGTGGTTTCTAACATGATCCTACTGGTTTTAAATTTGCTTTTTCAGATTTTTTAAAAATTACAGTTGACATTCAGTGTTATTTCATGTCCGTCTCAGGGGTGCGCCGTGGTGGTTGGACATTTACATAGTTTCTGGAGCCGTGAGTCTGGTACCTGCCTGGTACCACACACAGTCACGTAATTCATTTTTCGTGTTATTGAACTATACTCATGAACTGTGGTCTGTTAAAGTGCTTGCGCGCGCGCACACACACACACACACACACACCCAGCTCTGGTCTGAGTTGTCAACACCCAGAGAAGCAGAACAGGTCTTACCAAAACGACTCCATCAGGCTGGAACTGGCGCCACTCAGGTTGGAGCAGGGAAACCAGCTCTCGGTGACCGCCGGGGTCCAGGGCGCGGTGCGGCCGAGCTCCTGCTGGACCCACTCTGGACCGGGAGGCGCTGCAGGGAGCGGAGCAGAGATGGGGGGAAAGGAGGCGTGAGAACCACGGTGGCCATCCCCGCACTGGCTGCTGCCGGGGACCCACCGCCTCCTGCCCAAGGACCTGCGGAGGGGCACTAACTACATTCCTTCGGCGGCACCAACTCCGACGGGCCTGTGTGTCTACGACAACCGCTACTGCGGAGACGCGCAGACGCGGGCTTGCTGCGGCTGCTCAGACCTGGCAGACGCACACCCAGCCCACGGCCTCTATCGGGAACGCCCGCTCCCTGCCGCTTCCGTGAGGCCTGGGCGCAAATACTGCCTTTCAACAAGGCCTGCCGAAAACCACCCCCTTCCAGCCCTGGCTGGTGTGGCTCAGTGGACTGAGTGCTGGCCTGCAAGCCAAGCGGTAGCTGGTTCAATCCCCAGTCAGGGCCCATTTCTGGGCTGCAGGCTGGGCCAGCGGTAGGGGGTGTGCACGAGGCCACACATGCATGTTTCTATCCCTCTTTCACTCTCCCTTCCCCTCTAGAAATAGAAATCTTAATCTTTTTTTGAAAAATTTTAAAAAACATATTTTATTGATTATGCTATTACAGTTGTCCCTTTCCCCCTTCACTCCCCTCCACCCTGCACACCCCTCCCACCCACATTCCCCCCTTTAGTTCATGTCCATGTGTCATACTTGTGAGTTCTTTAGCTTCTACATTTCCTGTACTATTCTTGCCCTCCCCCTGTCTATTCTTTACCTACCGTCCATGCTACTTATTCTCTGTACCTTTTCCCCCTCTCTCCTCCCACTCCCCTGTTGCTAACCCTCCTTGTGATCTCCATTTCTGTGGTTCTGTTTCTTTTCTAGTTGATTGCTTAGTTTAGTTTTCTTTTTGTTTTAGGCGTGGTTGTTAATAATTGTGAGTTTGCTGTCTTTTTACTGTTCATATTTTTTATCTTCTTTTTCTTAGATAAGTCCCTTTAACATTTCATATAATAAGGGCTTGGTGATGATGAACTCCTTTCACTTGACCTTATCTGAGAAGCACTTTATCTGCCCTTCCATTCTAAATGAAAGCTTTGCTGGATAGAGCAATCTGGGGTGTAGGTCCTTGCCTTTCATGACTTGGATACTTCTTTCCAGCCCCTTCTTGCCTACAAGGTCTCTTTTGAGAAATCAGCTGACAGTCTGATGGGAACTCCTTTGTAGGTTACTGTCCCCTTATCTCTTGCTGCTTCTAGAAGTCTCTCCTTCATTTTAATCTTTGGCAATGTAATTATGGTGTGCCCTGGTGTATTCCTCCTTGGGTCCAACTTCTTGGGGACTCTCTGAGCTTCCTGGACTTCCTGGAAGTCCATTTCCTTTGCCTGATTGGGGAAGTTCTCCTTTATTATTTGTTCAAATATCTTTTCCATTTGTTGCTCTTTCTCTTCTCCTTCTGGTACCCCTATAATTCGGATGTTGGAACGTTTAAAGATGTCCTGGAGGTTCTTAAGCTTCTCCTCATTTTTTTGAATTCTTATTTCTTCCTTCTTTTCTGTTTCGTTGTCTTTCTTCCTTCTGGTCCACTCCATTGATTTGAGTCCCAGTTTCCTTCCCATCACTATTGGTGGGAACATTTTCCTTCATTTCACTTCGCATAGCCTTCATTTGTTCATCTAATTTGCAACCAAATTCAACCAGTTCTGTGAGCATCCAATCACCAGTGCTTTGAACTGTGCATCTGATAGGCTGGCTATCTCTTGGTCGCTGAGATGTATTGGTCCTGGGGCTTTGATCTGTTCTTCCGTTTGAGCTTTTTTTTTTGGGGGGGGTGGGTCTGGTGGAGCCTGTTATGTATGAGGGGCGGAGCCTTAGGTGTTTGCCAGGGCGGGTCATCCCAATCGCTGGGTTGTGACGCTGTATGTGGGGGCAGGGTCCCAGAGGGAACAATGGCGCTTGATCTACTCTCAGTTGGATTTCAGTCACCTCTGCCACTTCCCCCAAGCAAACTGGGCCTTTCTGGTGCTGATTCCCGGGTGGGTGGGCTTTTGCACATTCTAAGACCCTGTGGGTCTCTCCAGCGAACTCTCCTGTGAGGCTGGGAGTCTTTCCAGGCACCTCAACCCCCACAGGTGTTTTCAATCTGTGCTTTTAGGCTTTATTTCCTGGCACTTGGGGCCCTGGGTGGCGAGGTCTGTCTCGCTGCCTGTTTTTGCAGGAATGTGTGTCCACGGTCACCCAGCGGCCTTGCCGCCTCACTGGGTCTGCCTGTTGCCTCCCGGCACCTCTGCCCGGGGTCTGCCAGCTGCCACCTGTGAGCCAGGGACCGCCAGCCACCACTTTTTCCTGCCGTGACCCCTCTCTGCCAGCCCCGACTCCGCCCCTCATACCAGTCTTCATGGATGGTTGTCAGACTTCAATTTTTCTGTCAGATCTGGCAGTTTTTTTGTTTCTAAGTTTTTGTTGTCCTCAGTTTTGGTTGTGCGAGGAGGCACAGTGTGTCCACGTATGCCTCCATCTTGGCCAGAAGTCTAAAAATAAACATCTTCATAAAATAAAATTGCACCCCTCCAACTCCCCTTTAACGTGCTCCACTCCCAGTTTCCTGTTTATTACATGGCACTCACCGCTTCGAGTGCACTGTGTAACTCCCTCACGCAGTTTATTCTCTCATCGCCCCGGACTGACGGTAAACCCCACGACGGCAGAGACCTTTGTCTGTTCCGTTCACTGACGAACTCCCCAAACCTAGAACCATGCCCGACACGTAGTAGGCACTCCCTAAATCTGTTCAATAGACGGAATATCACATTAATTTTATTTTTACCTACCTAGCATAAATAACACTGCCGTGCACTGGAAGGCAGACGGAATCCCAAAGTTGTAGGTGCAGTCTTTATTAGGTGGCAACCTGCACGAGAAGTTCTAGTTAGCTGAGAATGGTGCTGGTGTATGCATGAAGAATGTCGCTCAGTAACAGAAACAGTAGCCTCTCCCCGTGATTATCCATATAAAACTGGAGTAGAGATGGGCCTGAGGGCGTTAGTGCTGGAACTGAGCTTACAGATCACGTACTCCTGACTCCTCAACGCACAAACAGGGAAGCCCGGGGTCGCCGGGAGTGTGGACTGAGCATGTGCTCTGTGCTCGTCATAACTCACGGACCCCCCAGCCTCTCTGAGGCAACCGTGGTTCCCGCCCCATTGCATCCAGGAGGGCTGAGGCCGAGGAATGAGTAACCTGTTCGAGGTCGCCCAGTTAGCGAGGGGCAGAAGCCACGTGTGTACGAACCCCAACCCCGTGCTGAACCAGGAGGCGGCACGGCCGCTGGGGGTTCGCCAGCTCACACGGCGGGCAGAGAGGGGAGACCGGACCCCCATCCCGCCGCCCCACGCCCCTCCCGCTGCTCTCCGTCCGTCAGGGCAGAGAGCCCTCAGGACCTCTGCTCGGGGACCGCCCAGCTCGTCTCTAGGATGTCTCACACCGCGGTCCGGGAGAGGGAAGCCTTCTGGGGTTACGAAGGCAGAAGACGAACTAAGGCGGGGAGTTTGTTGGCTGTTTAAAACTAGCCATCACCTTTAAGCAAAAAGGAAAAACGACCTGTGGACATGGACAAGAGTGTGGTGATTGCTGGGGGGCGGAGGGTGTAAGGGGACTAAACAGTAACGGGGAAAAACACAATAAAGATGAAATAAAAATAACCATCGCCTTTAAA